AGTTATTCAGGTATTTACGTCAACTTGTCGATGGTTGAACTCGACCTGATGATGATGAAACCGAAAGACAGTCGAGGGATCTCCTTGACTATTTGTAGTATTTGCCTTGTGTTTGAGCTTGAATGATTCGTATTGGCACTTTGCACCAAGACTGGTAAACAAACAATGAAACAATGAATTTATTTTTGCAAATAGGCCTTAAAACGGCACTTTTACACGTCAAATTATATGTGAAAAACTAGATGAAGCGGTAGTGGGTAGTGACTGTCATTAGGGGTCTGATGATGACAAAGAAGGACAGCTCAGGTCGACTTCGACCTTCGTCAAGTTATAGTGTTGTAAAAGACCTACTTAAACATCATACAAAAGAACTACTCGCCCCTGCAATTATTGAAAGTTCCCCTCGATTTCTCCAGAATTCCATCATCAGATTCTGACCTCATGTAAATGGGACCAAATGGCAGGTAAACCCTATCAAAAAAAAAAAAGACTTTTGCAAATCGGTCCAGTCGTCTTCGAGTAATCGGTGTACATACATAAAAAAAATACGCATCGAATTGAGCACTTACTCCTTTTTTGAAGTCGGTTAAAAATATAATCGATGTGTAAATAAGTATTGGAATGGATACTTACGTGTTAAAATAGGTTATATTAAGGTCTAGCGAGCACTGTCCCAAAAGTAGCTGAACAACATAAGCGTCAAAATTATATTAACACAGTGCAACATTAAAAATATACTTTGTTAACCTAATTTTGACTTTTCTGCTGTTTACTGACTTTTGATACAATGATGTTCAGCGACATTTGGATTGATGGTGTACAGCGACTTTAGGAATACTATAGTGCACAGATACTTTTGAATTAGTCGTGTTTAACGACTTTTGTAAATTTCTGATGTACAGGCTATTTTGTTTCCTAGTTGTGACTATAACTTATGGCATTTTATTGTGAACAGGTGTTTTGGAAAGTTGATTCTGTTCATCGACTTTTGGAGCTGACTGTACGTATCTATAAAAATGTTATCTGACGTGCGCAGGATTTTCCTGAATATGTCACCGCCAGTATCAATGCGGAAACAAGTGCCATACCTATTACCAATGATAACATTTAATTTGTAATTTTGTTTTCCTGTCTTAGCTGTAATTTGTGAATGTTAGAGGAGTGGACGCCTAATACCTACCCCCAAAAGGCCAATTACGGAGTCGTAACTTCTCTTTTCTTTGGAGCGCGGAATACGCTGTGAGTGATTGAGCGAGGAGTGTCAGACTGACTAAAAACGACTGCGTTCTTTCTCCTTCTCCTGGCCCTATATCTTGCCCCGCAACCACGACTGAACATCGATCTCGTTGGGCCCCATCTGTTGTGCAGCCAGAAAGAGGAGATGGCTTCCTAGTTCCTCTCGCTCCCCACCACTCAATTAAATGTAGGATTGCATTACAAGTCCACTCTTCACCGAACTTGCCTGCCTCGCAAAACTTTAGAATAATATTTCAGCGGCAACACCCCTGTTATTCTTCTGACGCTGCATGTCCGTGGGCAGCGCTAAACACTTACCATCAGGCGCTCCGTCACCTCGTTTGCCTCCTTTTCCATAAAAAATAATGCTTTTAATAATGCTTACTTATTTTAGAAAGGCGTCAAAATTGTGAAACTTCACAAATATCTAATAATATAGTGCACTCAAGGACAATCCCCGGTTGATGCATATGTATGTAATGTGGTATTAACACAATAGAATTGCAAGTAGCTGAAATACACTAGTCTTGCCGTGGCTACTTCAGTCAGCTGTCGGATCTTCCAGACAGTATAAGTTGCAGAGCTCAATCGTCCTGCTAGAGATCTAATATGGAGCCCCCATTGCAATTTGTTGTCTACAGTAAGTCCCAAGAAAGTAGTCTCCCTTACAAATTAAACCAATTTTGAACCTTCATTAACGCGTATTTGTTCGTATGTTTATTAAAAAATCAGTGATGTGTTATCAGCGAACAATACCATATGCAGAGTAAATGTGGCAAGACATTCACATATACCACAAATAGAAATGGACCTTAAATTGACCCCTGCGGCACGCCCATAGATATGCTAGCACCCCGTCAGTTTGCCGACTTTTTTTTATTTTTAAAAAGCGTTGCCCCACACTATGATTTTTTTCTGTATCATGGGTGCGTTTACAAACATACAATTTCACATACACAACACACCCAGACCCGAAACAACAATTTGTGGATCACACAGTTTGTTCCGTGTGGGACTCGACCATGCGGCACGTTACACTGCAGACGGCTGTCCAGCTGCCGCGCTGATTTTAAAATGAAAAGTGTTGTTTCACCATGTGAGTGAGGTTACCGGGGCCCAATCCAACCCCCCTTCTCCCCATCTCTTTCCAATCCTTAAATATCGGAAACCCTTATAGCCAAAAGGCCGGTACTCGTAACTTTTCCGTTATTGCCGGTGTTCATGGGCGGCGCTGGTAGCTTACCATTAGGTAATCCGTCTGCTTAAATACTTAGACACTGTAGCAGGGTCGAAATACACATGATATAATAAACAAAAATACAATTAATTATCATTATATTATTTAGAATTAAAAGGGTTGTGTTTCGCAGAGTTAGTGAGGTTACCGGAGGCGAAGATTTGGAGATTGCCAAATCTTAATCCTTAAAGATCCGAAACTCTTATCCCCAAAAGGCCGGTAACGCGCTCGTAACTCCTTTACAGATGCGGTTGTCCGCGCCGATTGCTTACCATATGGTAATCCCATTGAAAAATGAAATAAAAAAACAGCTATAGAGATTCAACATAATTTATATATTTGATACAAAATGATAAATCTACTTTTTATAACAATATGAACCTACTTAAATGCATATAAAAGTATATTTTTCAATGCGCGATAGCACAATTTTGATTTATTGAATACAAACTGATTTTCAATCAAATTTATAGTACAATGTTAATATTATATGGGATTAAAAGAACAACAAATGTTTAATTATATTTTAGTAGCTGTTGCCCGCGATTCCGTCCACGTGGACTTCAATTTCAGTTTCTATAAAATAAGCGCCTGTTATAATAATGGGAGCAATATGTACGTCCGCGTTGGCTCCCGTTTTTGTAACATTTTTTGTTACTGCTCTGCTCATGTTAATCATAGTGGTATGTTATATAATCTATGTCCTTTCTCAGGCTCTAGGCTATCTGTGTACCAAATGTCATTATAATCGGTTCAGTAGTTTTGGCCTGAAAGTCGGACAGACAGACACACACGGAGACTTTCGCAAACACACAGCAAAACAGAACGCTGTGGTTGTTTCACGCCGGTTTTCTGTGAGGCCGTGGTATCACTCCGGTCGAGCCGACCCATTCGTGCTGACGCATAGCTCTCCCACACTTAAATTTTAATATATTATTAGTATGGAAGTATGGATTAGTAAATCACTGAGTTTTCATACGACTAGGTACGTATTTAATCAAAATCTAAAACTTTAGTGTCCAAATATTGTTTAAGATACGAAATTTGAGTTGACTTAATTTTAAGTTTATATGGAAACATAAAACGGCCTCTTTCTGTCTGTTTAAACTCTTTTTCGAGAATAATTTGTATGTAGATAAAAGTGATACGCTTTAGGCTGCTTTCCATCAATACCTACCACGCGAGCAAAGCTGCGGGCGGGAGTTAGTTAAAATCTATTTAGCAGTCAGTTACAAAATGAAAAAATATTATACACGTATTTATGTTTTTATTTTGTATAATAAGAAAATATTTACAATAAACAAATTGGGATAGTCTAGATACTTTCAGTACCTAAGTGAAAAAACGCCACATACCATTTCTCATCCATCCTTTATATTGGCAAAAATATATAATTTACAAGCAGGTTCGTTTAAACATATTCAATCTTGTGCTTAACATCGTTACGATATCTAAACAAAGAAATAAACAAAACTATTACTATATTTATATTTTTATTATAACTTTCTGGAGACATTCTAAATTAATTATTATGTTTTCGGCTTACTCACGTGATAATTTGACGTGAATCGCGGCAGAGGGCTCGTTGGGCGCGCAGACTCGAGTAGCCAGTAGCAGCGCGACGGTCGCCGAGTCGCGTGTCGCGGAATGCTGCTCATGAATATGGGCCTCTAGCATGGCTTGACACTCGACTGACTATCTCGTCAAATTATTACGTGAGCAAGCCGAAAACATAATAATTAATATTTATATTTATTACAGAACTACCAAGTAGTTATTTTTCTCGGTTTTCTCTTGCTTTCCTTAAGTACTAAGTACTCCAGTGAATGTAACGAGAATAGCTCTACTAGTTTCAAGTCAAAACGGGACTCTTACAAATGGGTCGGCTGCGCGACGTCAACGTGACGTAGTTTGGATATTATAGACCGCAGATCGAATGAATACGAGTCCCGTTGTGACTTCAAACTAAAAGAGTTATTCTCAATTTAGTTACGTAAGTAAATCGGTATTATCTATGGAGGAGGCGGATGGAGTGAGGGAACTGTCCTCCTCACGCCTCAGCCACCGCAGTAAGCGATCGAGTCGGTCGGCTATCGAGAGATGATCTCCGGCCACCGTAAGCGCGCGTCTGCGAACGGCGAATAAGGGTAGCTCGCCCGACCAGAACTAGACCCACCATTGATGATTTTCCCCTCACAAAAAAAACCGTTGGTTGGATGGCTAATTCAACTATTTAGCTACGACAGATACAATTACGTATTGGCTAACTATACAATTTAATTCTATAGTTACGTAATTCTAGTCTACATAAATACATATAACAATTAGTAAGTATCACTAATAACAAAGATAAAAATAAAAAGCTAAACAATAATAATTATATCATTTTCAAATTTCAACCAAAATTTTAAACAAACATTTTTTTCTTACAAAATTTACTTAAAATTAATCAAAATTGTATTACTTGTCATATAGAACTTTGGTCTTATACTATAATGGCGTTTTATTATCCCGATTAATTTGAGACTTACACTAAACTAAAAAAAAAGTTAGATAATAGATTAAAATTATTATAGTCACATTTTAATTCCGTTTAGAATCACTACCTAAGTATGCATTTCAAGACAATTCCCATAATAAAGGTCGGTCACCACATTCCACGCTTTACTCCCCAATATGGCCGCTTCCAAGCAAACACTACACCAATCACTACTTTCCGATCCTATTTTATCCACAAAACTACTCAACTCTACTTCAAAATTACCAGATTCCAGAAGCACTCTGTCCGAAATTCCAGAGTCCAAAGTCACTTCTGTAGAAATTTGAGATTCCAGAGCCACTTCAGATGAAAGTGGGTCTGGAATGGGCCTGTTCTAGCTTTCTACGACTTCGTTTCTGGCGACCCACCTCTCGAATAGATGGAGGAGTTCAAAGCAGACCTCGGCGAGAATGAGTGCGATCACCATCCACTCGAGGCGAACATGGTGCCTGTCTGCAGCCCAAGAAGACAGCAGTTCTAGCAGTTCCACACAATGGGAGAGACGCTCGTTTAGCACCTGAAGGGACAGACAGAATGGTTTTAAAGCACAGAAGTTAGGCCTAACTAGTTTTCTTTATACTGCTGATATCATTAAAGCTTAATTATTATTATATTTTATTTAAAAAACACTTTGCCCCACACTAGGATTTTCTCAAGTGTCGTGGATGCGTTTAGCATCACACAATTTCACATACACACCACGTCCAGGCCCGGAACAACAATATGTGGATCACACAAAGAGTTCCGTGCGGGAATCGAAACCGCGACACGTTGCAAGACAGCCAATTGCCCAGCCACCGCTCTAACCATGTAACATTTACAACAAAACCCGAATCCTCAAAAGGTCAGCAACGAATTCGTAACTCCTCCATTGCTGCGGGTATCGAAGGGCGCTGATTGCTTACCATGATTTCATTTCATTCATCTGCTCGTATGACTATCTATCACATGAAAAAATATAGGTATATATGCCCTTAAAGTGTCAACTCACCCTGGTTCTCCTGGAGATGGTGAAGTATGCAACAGTGGAGGAATAGAGCCGTTCAAGCTGCTCCTCTTCCCAGTAGAAGTCAGGAGTGTCCAGCAGGTCGGATTCCACGTTCAGCCGGTGGCGGAGGGAGAACAACTCGCCTAGCTTTCGAACTACCTGTAAAATGAAGAATCTTACTATGTAAAGAAAGAAAGAAACAAACAAACAAATAAACCTTTTTATTAGCCTTGATGGCTAATAAAAAGGTTTATTTGTTTGTTTTTAGCCTTGATGGCTAATAAAAAGGTTTATTTGTTTGTTTGTTTGAGTACATGAGGGCCAGAAACAAAAAATATACAACATAAAAGTACAATAAACATGAAGGTATTCCATGAAGCACACCCAAACGAAGCACACCTAAAGTTTTCCACTTAGCACACCCGTAAGTGGGCTTCAAATAAAAATTAATTTTCTATTTATAAATTCATGAAATTCATGTGACGTTCTATATGGATGGGTCATAATTAGGTACCTCTTTCTTATCAAGATGCGCGGCCCCGTCGTGCTGCATGGCGGCTGTGTGGGAGCTGACTGCGGTGGCCAGCGCCTCCAAGCGTGCCTCCCACGCGCCCAGCCGCGCAGACTGCACCATCGCGTGGCTGCACACAACCCAAACTAAATTAAAGCGGGGTGAATAGAATTCGAGGGGTGACTGAAGAGGGGTGGATAGATACTAGGACAATTCGCCAACATCTATTCACCCCTTTCGTGTATCAATTCACCCCTTTCGTGTATCAATTCACCCCTTTCGTGTATCGAAGCACCCCTTTCGTGTATCAATTCACCCCTTTCGTGTAACAATTCACCCCTTTCGTGTATCAATTTACCCCTTTCGTGTATCAATGCACCCCTTTTATGTATCAATTCACCCCTTTCGTGTATCAATTTACCCCTTTCGTGTATCAATTCACCCCTTTCGTGTATCAATAAATTTACCACTTTCGTGTATCAATTTACCCTTTTCGTATATCAATTCACCCCTTTCGTGTATCAAATCACACCATTCGTGTATCTATTCACACCTTTCGTGTATCAATGCACCCCTTTCGTGTATCAATGCACCCCTTTCGTGTATCAATGCACCTCTTTCGTGTATCAATGCACCCCTTTCGTGTATCAATGCACCCCTTTCGTGTTTTAATGAACCCCTTTCGTGTATAAATGCACCCCTTTCGTGCATAAATGCACCCCTTTCGTGTATCTATTCACCCCTTTTGTGTATCTATTCACCCCTTTCGTGTATCAATTTACCTCTTTCGTGTATCAATTCACCCCTTTCGTGTATCAATGCACCCGTTTCGTGTATCAATTCACCCCTTTCGTGTATAAATGCACCCCTTTCGTGCATAAATGCACCCCTTTCGTGTATCTATTCACGCCTTTTGTGTATCTATTCACCCCTTTCGTGTATCAATTTACCCCTTTCGTGTATCAATTCACCCCTTTCGTGTATCAATAAATTTACCACTTTCGTGTATCAATTTACCCTTTTCGTATATCAATTCACCCCTTTCGTGTATCAAATCACACCATTCGTGTATCTATTCACCCCTTTCGTGTATCAATTCACCCCTTTCGTGTATCAATTCACCCCTTTCGTGTATCGAAGCACCCCTTTCGTGTATCAATTCACCCCTTTCGTGTAACAATTCACCCCTTTCGTGTATCAATTTACCCCTTTCGTGTATCAATGCACCCCTTTTATGTATCAATTCACCCCTTTCGTGTATCAATTTACCCCTTTCGTGTATCAATTCACCCCTTTCGTGTATCAATAAATTTACCACTTTCGTGTATCAATTTACCCTTTTCGTATATCAATTCACCCCTTTCGTGTATCAAATCACACCATTCGTGTATCTATTCACACCTTTCGTGTATCAATGCACCCCTTTCGTGTATCAATGCACCCCTTTCGTGTATCAATGCACCTCTTTCGTGTATCAATGCACCCCTTTCGTGTATCAATGCACCCCTTTCGTGTTTTAATGAACCCCTTTCGTGTATAAATGCACCCCTTTCGTGCATAAATGCACCCCTTTCGTGTATCTATTCACCCCTTTTGTGTATCTATTCACCCCTTTCGTGTATCAATTTACCTCTTTCGTGTATCAATTCACCCCTTTCGTGTATCAATGCACCCGTTTCGTGTATCAATTCACCCCTTTCGTGTATAAATGCACCCCTTTCGTGCATAAATGCACCCCTTTCGTGTATCTATTCACGCCTTTTGTGTATCTATTCACCCCTTTCGTGTATCAATTTACCTCTTTCGTGTATCAATTCACCCCTTTCGTGTATCTATTCACCCCTTTTGTGTATCTATTCACCCCTGTCGTGTATCAATTTACCTCTTTCGTGTATCAATTCACCCCTTTCGTGTATCAATGCACCCCTTTCGTGTATCAATGCACCCGTTTCGTGTATCAATTCACCCCTTTCGTGTATCTATTCACCCCTTTTGTGTATCTATTCACCTCTTTCGTGTATCTGTTCACCCCTTTCGTGTATCAATTCACCCCTTTCGTGTATCAATTCACCCCTTTCGTGTATCAATTCACCCCTTTCGTGTATCTGTTCACCCCTTTCGTGTATCAATTCACCCCTTTCGTGTATCAATTCACCCCTTTCGTGTATCTATTCACCCCTTTCGTGTATCAATTCACCCCTTTCGTGTAGCTATTCACCCCTCAAATTCTATTCACCCCGTTTTACGGTACAACTAGTTATAAACCCGGCTTTGCTCGGGAGAAATGTGACTAATATTACAAATCTTGATTTGTGACTAATATTACCAAAAATATGTTCTACAATTAAATCATCTACAATACATCGCTGTTTTGGTATGATGTGATATGATCCAAACAAAGTAAATTATTATGCAAAACTAAATGATATTTGGACGAAAACTTCTGCTTTCATGGTATTGGTTGCTATCGCAAACGGAAAATCTCAGGTTTATAGAAAAAACGAAACGACAACGACTGAAGACAAATATTTAAGCGTATCTATGAGCTACAGACATTTACCTACTTACTAGCTACTTCTTAAGATGGCGACTGCGGATTATTTGTCAGTGCCATTGAAATTTAACGAAATTTTCCATTTTTGTATGTTTTCTTATTCATATAGGGTTTTAAAGTGTTAAAGGTAAGTTGTTGGTATAAGTACAAGCACAGTCATCGGCCGATTTTTTTATAGTCGATCAGGTATTTGAGTCGCAACAAACTTTTCCCAAGGAGGATAGGTCAAAATAGAATTAAACTCCTTAATCTCCCCTCCCTCCCCCCTCTATTCCTTGCAGGCTGGTTGGTACTCACCTAAATGTGTACTTCTCTAACGAATTGTCTCTTTTTGGCACCAGAACAAATGATGATTCTTGCAAGTGACATTTCTTCCTAGAAAATAACATTAATTAGTAAAAAGTGTGTGCCTTATAGGGTTAATTTTTGGCCTATTTTAATTAGTTTTTAAGAGTTGTTTTAAAAATGGCTTTAACAAAAATCTCTTTTGTTTTCACTACAACATACCTGTAAACCTGCGAATGCGAAAGTTACGATGTTTGGATTTTTTATATTATATTAGTAAGATATTGATGCATTTTTAATTCTGGAGATATGATGCAAATATAACACAGGGAAACAATTATATTATAAAACAATACAAAAGGGCAATAATTCTGTATCAAACACCATAGTTGGCACAGTGGCTGGGCAACTGGCTTATGTGCATGTCGCGGGTTAGATTCCCGCACGGAACAACACTTTGTGTGATCCACGACAATCTGTTGTTCCGGATCTGGGTGTGATGTGTATGTGAAATAGTATGTTTGTAACCGCATCCATGACATAGGAGAAAATCCTAGGGTGGGGCAACGGCAAGAAAATGTAAAAGTTGTTTCGTGTCTGGGTGACTAGTTGGGGTAAGATAACAAAAAACTATTCTTATCGAGCTCCAAAACAACATGCTGTATCTACAAAAAAAATTCTAGTCAAGCTAAAACCTTGACCTACTTCGTTTATCAAAGCCCACTACAAACACATAAAAACTGCAATTTGACAACAAACCTGCTTCCCTTAGATATCACAGCTGTTTGAGTCCCAGACTTCTTTGATCGGCTTGTGTGAGAAATATCCATTATTTAATATTATTAGTAAATATTTACCAGCATACATTTTAACACACAAGCTTTTTACACGACTTCCCAAAAAATGGAGTGTTATTTATGTCGGGTTATTGATAGGTCGGCAAACGAGCCGTCCGATTACCTGATGGTAAGCAATTAGCGCCGTCCGTGGACGCCAACGTTACGAGAAAGCAAAAATTTACGAGTGGGTTGCCGATCTTTTGGGGATAAATTAAGGTATTTTTTGAGATTACTGATTAGGTAGGTACCTCTTGTGTGTTATTAGGGGCTTAAGGATGTAGGATTTGAGGATTAAGGATGGTGTTGCCACCATCCGGAATTGGGATTTGGCTTCCGGAAACCTCACTCACACGGCGAAACACAACGTAAGTGTTGCTTCACGCCGGTTTTCTATGAGATCGTGGTATCACTCTGGTCGAGCCGACCCATTCGTGTCGAAGCATGGCTCTCCCACACTTAAAACTTCGATGGCATTACACTGACAACTAATAGTGCAAGAATGATTACTTAATTCTGGGTTAGTGCACACAAGCTTATTTCTCACTTAATGCCAAACAATCAACGCCACCCATTGGCACCCCCACCACCAAGAATTACAAGTGCGTTGCCGGCCTTTTAAGGATTAGAGGATCGGGGGAATTGAGTATGGGATGGGGGGAAAATGAGATTTGGGTCTCCAAGAACCTCATTTGCACAGCGAAACACAACAAAAAAAACATTTTACGCCTTCAGGTAATACTTCGGTCCAGCTGCCCCTATTTGTGGCAAAGCATAGTTCTCCCAACTTCAATTACCATAAATGTTAAACGCATTTTAAGTTAGAATGTATAACAAGATTATTTTAAATGAATACTCACACATTGGGATGGTAAACATAGGTCATGACCTCTCTTTCCTTCTCAACCACATCTCTAGGGTAACTGTCTATTTCAAAACTGGAATAAAAGAAAGGGAATTTTATAATTTATAATAATCCAAGACATCATTATCAGCCTGTTGAGCAAAGGCCTCTTCTCACACGGAGGTTTTGAGTGTTAACCACCATGATTGCTCAAGGTAATTACAAGTCCAGGTTTCCTAACGATGTCTCCGACATGTTGACAATTCAACGACATTTGATTCTTAGGCACAATTAAATTATTGGTGAATTTTAATATGATTTTACATTTGTTTTACTTCCAAAAAAGTATAGATATTAAAGAATACTTGTTTGAGATTGAAACTTGAAACTATTTATTTGTTCATACCCTCATGAGTATAATAATTTCAATTACAGAATCAATGTAAATAATATACCTATTAATACCCTCCTTACTGGTGTTATAATTAATTCGATGACAATCAATATTCAACAGGTATTCTGTTTTTTTATGCTAATTTTTAATTTTTGGCAAAATGGTACCTGCAGGTTTGATTCCTGCATGTACCAACTCTGAGTGATTCACATATGGTTTTTTGGGTCTGGGTGTGAAGTTAACATGCCCATAACACAAGAGAAAATCCTAGAGCGTGGTAATTTAATTTAATTTATATTGTGATCACTAAAATCATGTTGCCACCTTCGGTTAAAACTAGGAACCAACATAAAAAATAAGGAGCAACCAGAAAAATAATGATTGAAGACTGTTAACTAAATGGCTGATTAAGCTTCTGGATTGTGATATGTAGATGTTTACTTACGGCCTCACAAAGTCCAGTACATTCCGAGCCTCTAACTCTGTACAGTTCCAGAACACAATACCACCTTCTCGGAAGAATATAATCTCTCTGGGCTCAGTACCAACACTGTATACTGCATTCGCTACCACCACATCTCCTAACTCATTTGATTTTAGCCTGAAAAATGTTTTTAGTAATTAAGTATGAGTTTTTGATAAAAAAACGTGTGTGTTATCAACTATGTATATTAAACAAATATATTTGTTTATATATTAGGTACACGTTCTAATAACACCTTCATTACGTCTTTTATCTTTTCATATTATTATTCTCTTTATCTCATTGTTACATCATTTTTTTTTTTCAAATATACCTAAGCAAAGATTGATCAGAATCACTTACGTTCCCGGTTCATACAGCTTCTGTTGTACCAGGGCTTCTTTCAAACTCTTCAAGTCATAGGCATTAGCTGTAGCATAAGCCATAGTAAGGTAATGGCCCTCTTTGTCAGTAAAATCAGCCGGACTAGCCTTCTTATGAACAATCTTCTTTTTTATAGGTAATGTGCCATTTTCTATCGGCAATGTCGGCTGTATAGCATCATTAGAATAATTCCTCACAATTCCTATCCCAGCAATACTAAATAAATCATTTTTTTGCAAAAACAAACGAGTTTTTGGAGTTGAAAAACTGACCACCGTATTTGTAAAGAAACACTTCGGTGTCGCACACCGAAACGTGTTTAACGCAATTCTTGATAAATACACAGTCATAGCTGTATCTTAGTGTAAAAAATTGAATAAATACGTAAAATAATTCTGTTATAAATGCCTTTTTGTAATTATTATATAAAGTTTTAGGTTATGCTTACATTGACTGTTTTGACATTTTCGATTTTTCTGAGACGCTTGCAATTATACTAGTTTAGAAACGAGCACTTTTGCACGCACTACATTCACCTGTATCTTTTATTTGAACTTCGTACTAAAATGACATACCTTCTTACAAATTGCTTTCCTGCAATCTAGTTACATGGTAATTGGCGCGCACTACCCATCACATCTAGCCACACGAAATGTATTTTTTTGAACTTCATAATTGTATTGAAAGTGTTAGTCACAACATTGACATATTGTGACTAATACTTTATTTATAATATTAATAATGTTGAATAGTTCAGTTCTCCAGTGGACCTCCTCGAAAAGGGTACAATTTAATAACATATTCAAAAATAAAATAAAACGAATGTTTAAAAAAATAATTTATTTCAATCATCAGCTTGATCTCCTACGATAACGTCTCCTGAACGTGCAGTGAACAGAGTATACAGTTTGAGGGCGAACTCACGCCCGAGTCGTCTTTGTTTAGCGCCGGCTACGCCTGAACGAGAGACACCAATACTTGATAATTGTTCCAGGGCATCAGGCTCTTGTAAGCTCTGAAAATAAACACTACATGTAAGTCTGTTTCGCTTACTTTACTGAAATATCTGTAATTATTTCAATAACTGTGGGAAAGCCATGCTTGGGCACGAATAGGTCGGCTCGACCGGAGTGATGTGTTTCGCCATGTGCGTGAGGTTACAGGAGGCCCAAGTTTTCCCCTCCTCAATCCCAAAAACTCCAAATCCTTAATCCCTAAAAGGTCGGCAAAGCACTAGTAACTTGCTGTTGTTGCTGGTGTCCATGGGCGGCGCTGATTGCTTTCCACCAAGTAATACGATTGATATTTTGCCGAAAAGAAGTCATTTGATAGTTATTTTCCTCACAAAAAAAAAAACATTTTGACCATAATGTTACTTGATGTTACCTCATAGATGGCCAGCGGAGACTTGTATTGAGCGCAGAGTGCCCGAGCGATGTCAAGGCTGGACTGTGGCAACATCGCCAGCATCTGCTGCCAAAGCTGGGAGACCCCAGCGCCTAGAATGATCACCATAAAATTTGAAAAAATTGTTAAACACCCATTTTTTTATGTGGTAGGACGGCAGACGGGCATACGGATTACCGATGGTAAGCAAACAGCACTGTCCATGGACACCCAAAATAACGAAAGAGTTACGAGTGCATTTACGGCCTTTTGGGTTAAAGGATTTCAGATATTTAAGGATGGGGAGATGCGGATGGATTGGGCCTCCGATAACCTCATGCACACGGTAAAACACAACATTGTAGTTGTCTCACGCCGGTTGTCTGTGAGGCCGTGGTATCACTCCGGTAGCTCTCCCACACTTAAAGTATCACCATATAATTTTAAAATACTTTTTTTTACCTTCTCCGCGTGAGAAGAGACCTTTGCTCAGCAGTGGGCACTTATAGGCTGATATTCTGATGATGTATACTAACATGAACTAACTCACCATTATTATTGATGGCAACACAATTCCTGTTGACACCTCTCATGTAGAAACTGGATAATTCATCAATTTCACGTTTCGCTTTTCTGAAAAAAAAAATAAGCAAAATATTTTTCTCAGGATTGCCATAATCACGACATACTATAAAATAAAGTCGCTTTTCCCGAGCCTTCGAGTCCTTATGTCTTTATAACTACACAACGGATTTTGATGCGGGTTTTTTAATAGATAGAGTGATTAAAGAGGAATATTTTTTGTTTATAGTAACATCAATTGGATAGTAGAGAGAAGTGCCAGCGTTTTACCCGTAAGTACGGGAATTAGCGGGAAAATCCTTTTGTATGAAAAATTGAAACCGCTTAAGTTAGACGTTTGAAATTTGGCATGCAGATACCTTAGTAAACTTAAAGCTTAGTTGCAACAGGATATTGCAAAATTACTATGGGAACGGGAGTTAGCGGGAAAAAATCTTTTGTATAAGAAATCTAAGCAAGCTATAATATGTTGGGCAGTGGCCAACAGATCGCCACAAGCTTGTCTTGCGGATTTATTATTATAAAACTTATTAATTACTTGGCGGGTGCATCAGCGATGGCTTTAGTGAACCGCACTATGGTGTCTGCCATCTCCTGCGCCGTCTCCACCGTCACCACGTCACAGTCAGCTGTCACCATCACGTCTGGAATAGGAATATAATAAGTTTTAAGACGACGATGATCGATACGATACGTCTTAAGGGATTTCAATCTTATTATGAAATAAATAGAATTGAAAATCTGAAAAATCAATTATAAGTGATATCAAACTTATAATTAGAAATTATAAGTTCAGGTTTCCTCACGATGTTTTCTGTATGTCAGTGGTGTCTAAATAATCATAGAAAGTACATATATGACTCGCAGAAGCGTTCAGTCAGCCCTCCGATATTCAATTGAATATAAATAATAAATAAATAGGTATACCTAACTCAAAGACCACCACAACACAAATAAAAGAAATAGATAAACATTATTAGGGTACCTGTTAAAGCTAGTTCGAAATCGATATTGCTCATCTCCTTGCGTCCAGATTTCGACCTGCAAGCAACAAATATCCAAACTAATATTACAAATGCGAAAGTAACTCTGACTGTCTGTCTGTCTGTCTGTCATTTCTTCACGCCTAAACTACTCACCCGATTTGTGTGCGATACAGACATAGTTCGGAACTCGAGAAAGGACGTAGTTATAGTTTTTAAACCAAAATCTGCTGAAAGTCACTATTCCACGTAAACAAAGGCATAAAACTATTTTCACGTGTGTATTATAGTATGATTAAGCACTACGTTTGATATCCACATTTCAGAGGATAGTTTTTATCCAGAGAATCTCACGGGAGCGGGAACTTATAAACATCCCAAAAATATGCAGAAAGTCACTATTCCACACGAACGACGTCACAAGCAAAAGCTAGTAGGTAATAAATAAATAAATAAATGAGGAACCGTGTTTTTCGCACACCAGGTGGCGTTAAACTAGCAGGGAGGCAGATCGTACAATCACTTTTACATGTGAAAATTGATCCGATGTTTTGACACTAGCTAATTACATTGTTTCCTGGGAAAACCCGCACATATCAAATTTCAGCTAAATCGTTAGAACCGATTCCGACATTACATGTTTTTTCAAGCAATCAGCGTCATCTGCCGGGCTGATTTGTGAATCTAAACAATCCATAGCCACTCAAAGACATACAAAAAAATTTATTTAAATCGCGGTTAAGCCGTTTAGGAGAAGTTCAATGGCATAAAAAACAAGATATAAAAAACGTTGATTTTCTCCTGTGTCGTGTCGTGGGTGCATTTACAAATATACAATTTCACATCACATCACACTAGACCCGGAACAACAATTTGAGGATCGCACACAGAGTTGTGTGTGCTGGAATCGAATAGCTTAAAAATATTTTATACTAACTTGAAGTACGCTTCTACTTGTACGACGACTAATGTCATCTTGCATTCCAGTTGTTCCTTGAACTCAATCATAGTCCTCGCGAGACAGTTGGATTGTACTAAACGGGTCACACACTCCACTTCCATCACGCATAGAGCGTGGTCACATTTCTCCTCATTCGGCTTTTTTAACTGGAAATAAAAATATTTTGTTGTTTATGTGTGGCAGAGGTAAACTTCGGCACGAATGGGTCGGTTCGATCGGAGTGATATCACGGCCTCACATAAAAGCGGCGTTAAACAACCATATTAGTGTGAGTGAGGTTACTGGAGGCCCAATTCCTACTCCTCTCCTCATCCCTTCCCAATCCTAAAATATCCGAAGCCCGTATCTTCTAAAGGCCGGCAACGCACTCATAACTCCTTTGGTGTTGCGGGTGTCCATGAGCAGCGCCAATGGCTTACCAACAGGTAAACAGTCTGCTCGCTTGCCAACCTATCTCATGAAAAATTATGTATTTGATTAATTAGACAATGCTATAACGAAAATAAATATTAATTTTATATATAGAATTAGTCTAAATTGTGTTTTTTAAATGGGCGATGTCTTTCGGTTTTTTAATTGGCTCAGTAACCAACACAGACGACTGAACTTAAAGACCGCGCTTTGCCAGGCATATGCATTCGCCAAGGATAGGCAGTGATACTACATAAGAGTCGGCCCCGCCCCTTTCTGTGTCTCATTCCGCCGCCGAGAATCAAAGCGAAACAACAACATTGTTAATTTTGACGTGTCCTTAAACGAGCCAATGAAAACTGGGCTACCTCTCCCCGCAACCGCCACCTTTTAGTATAGATTGCAGACTGCGACAGGGCAAACGGGCTGACGGTGGCAAACAAACCGCGCTGCACCTGCACACCCACAACACCAGAGAAGTTACGACGGCGTCGCTATCCGGTTTAGGAGATTTAAGGTTTGATGAAGAACGAGTGGAGGGGAAATATTGGGCCTCCGCTAACCTTTCGTACACGGCGAAATACAACGCTTTCGTTATTTCACGCCGGTCTTCTGTGAGGCTGTGGTATCACTCCTCCTCAATCCTCTAAACTTCTCCATGTAAGAAGAGGGTTTTGTTTACTTGTTGGTACTTATAGGCTGTTGTGATATTGGCTTACCTTTTCAAAGTATTTATCCAAGGTCTGAGGCAGTTTCCTAGTCCAAGTGATGATGCCCTGGTCATTACTTGACTGCTGTAGCTCAATATTGGCTCCTGCTGCAGCGACCTCTTGCTGCACACTGGCCATGTACCATTTACGTAACAAATTTTCATTCACCACCACATTGATATACTGTAAACAATTTTTATGAACAATATGTTAGTTTCCAACTTGTCAAAAACAATACTTTTATATGAATTTTATATTGTTATGAGACTCTAAATTATGACGACATAGTATTTTTGGGTCAAATAGCATACTCATTTCTTAAAAATTAGCCTAAAAATATCGAAAATTTTGTGTATAGCCAGATCAATGATTGAACAATTTGTAGTTATTCTTCAATATTTTATTGTATTGAAACATCTAATGGATTTATTTTTGACGTAGAAAACTACACTTTGTCTTTCATTATACATTTAAATTAGAGTAAGTAGTTACATTCAATAAAAAAAATATCTATTTGCCTATTACCTGCATACATTCTCCAGGTTTATACACTTTGTTCATCTGGATACGTGCCTCCCTTTCCTTCTTATCTTCTTGCAGCTTTCTCTTCTTGGCTTCCTTTTCCAATGCTTTGTTCATCTTCCTCTCTTGTTGGTTTGAACTACTACTGCTTCCACCTACTAAAATATAACAATTTATAATTTGCATTACCCCATGAAATATTACATAATTTTATTCCATATTTTTATGTTACTGTAATCCATTCCATAAAGTTAGTATCCTTAGGAAGCAGAAAAGATAGATAACATGGGGTACATTAAGAAAACGAATGCTAAGCTAATGCCGCCAAAGGATTTACAATTATTTCAGTCAAGTTTAATAATATACCCAGCCAGCCTGGAGCAGGAAAAGGAATGGTGTGGCGAGTATACTATGTAGTCTTTGTAGTCAATAGGACACATCCTTTCACCCCACCAACTGTGAGAGAAGACGTTAGTTGATTCTTCCCACTTAAAAAAAATAATTTAACCACTGACCAAAAAAGGTAAACATTAATACACAAAAATTCTCAAGTCTCAAGACAAAGAACAAAGCCACTAAAGAGTAGTCCTAAAGTTCAGTATTAAATTTAAACCATACTTACAACCTAATAAATGTTTTCTGGCTTTCACATTTTTTTTCACTTCGTCGGGTATAATATCCAAAAATTCATCAAGAGCATCCTGTTTTTGTTTGCATGTAGACGGCGTAGCGTCTTCGTCTTCTGAAGAACTTAAAGTAACCACCAAGTCAGACATTTTGGTTCAAAGATATTTCTAAATGCTATTTACATTCTTTAGAATTCTTTGTTTACATTAATTATTGTTATGTTGTTGATTTTTTGTACCTTAAACCGGCTACCGGCTGTCAACTTTAAATCTGACACTAAAACTGTCATGCTGACAACTGACAGTGTTGACACTATTCAAAATCGGATATTTAGTCCATTAGTCCGACGTTGTATTGTGATTTGCCGGATTTTCATAATCAAAGTAATTATTCTTTCTTTTTATTAATGTTCTTAATTATTAGGATTTAGCGATTTAGGATTATTAGAAAATAGCCTTATCTGTTTAATGCTTGTTTCTCATTTGATAACAGGAGCTTTTTTTTGTCATAATCATCTAATGACTTCTCCCGCCCAAGGTAAGGCGAGAAAGAATGTCAGACTGTTACTGAATAAAATTCCTGCCCCCCACTTCCTCCCCCCGTTCCTTCTCCTGATTTAGGTCGAGGCCGCGGTGCCACATTGGGCTTAACCTGAAATCCCAGCTGAACTTCAGCCCTGTAGGCCCCCCCCGTCTGTGGTGGTCTATTGGGTCTTAGAGGCACACGCGGAACGTTACGCGCCGTACGCTCGAGTCTTGTTTTGGTCGAGCGGCGAGCTAGCCTTACTCGCCGTCCGCAGACCGGCGCTTGCGGTAGCAGTACATCTCGATCCCCGACGCCCAGAATTTCGCCTACTGCGGCGCCTGGAGCGTGAGGAGGATAGTTCCCTCTCGCGCTGACGAAAAGACGGCTCCCCAGTTCCTCTCACTACGAACCATGGCCTCAACTAAGGCCGGGCGCGAGAGGTCACCGCTGCCGATCACGTCCCCGAGGACACGGCGGTGCTCAGCCCAAGCAGGGCACACCGCCACTGTATCCTGCTCACAATGACGACACTCAGACGCCAGGTCCGAAACAGGAACCTACCGAAGATGCCGTGCCCGGCAAGCACCAGCGTCAGGCTGCGAAGGTGAGGACGCCATTGCGCCGCAAACCATGATAACAGGAGCTAGGAAATAGAAAAAATTACTGCGCTGAACAAGATTCCCGTTCTTAACGATTCTTAGTATCATCAACAATTGGTTGCATGTTGCCCAAGATAAAATTATTAATTATTAATTATTATAAATTGTGACTTTGACGATACAAATGGACCTGCATACATCATTCGTAATCACATCCACCACCCTAAACAAGAAAATCACATAATAAACATTTTATTGGTGTAATAATGAACTAAAATTACTCGAGTGCAATGATATAATTAAATTCGATTTTCAAAAACAGCACACTGATGCACACATGAACAATAATTCGTATGATTAGACGTCAAAGTGGAATGGCATGATTATAATAATTATAAGTATTAGGCAATAATCACGAGTCACACGAATCAGAGAGCCACATTTTAATGTATATCATCTTGCTGACCGCTTATGACCTATCTACCCTCGCCTTTTTACTTATAATATCATTGCTCGAATATATTAATTATTACTTATAAATAATATAGCAACAAGACCTCCAGATAAAGATTAATAAATTAAGTACATCTTATATTATTACTTACTACGTAAAAAGCGAATGCAAACCGCCTAAAATAATTTTACGTTGAGGTATATATATAATAATATCCCAGACTTCGTTAAAATAAATAAGTCCTGTAATGTTAACAGAGAAAGGTTTTAATAAATAAATAAATAACTAAATAAAATAAAAGTAGGTACAATATGTATACTTGCTTTAAGTGTGTGCAGTAGCTCAAGCTAATGCCCAATAGATTAGAAGGATGATGCTATAAAAACATAAAAACTTCCCTAACTCCAATAAATAGTCCATTTGCGCCTCGCCTATACTTTATCGATGGGTGCTATAAAAAAGAAAAGCGCGGGAAAGTGCTTACTTGCACGGATAAAATGGCTGATTTGACAGCTCAACAAAAGCCAGACAGACACTACACGCCTATTGATTTCCCATAAAACAGTCATATAAATCAAGTTAGAAACTTTTCAGCATTTTTCCGCTGCAGCGCTTTATTTTCTTTAAACGCATTGAACGTGTGTTGATAAAAATAAATCGCTAATTTTAAAGAATAAAACATGTAAAGGCGCTCATTATAAAATATAGGATCGCTTGGAGACGAAGAAAGAGTTAAAATCGTTACTCTTATAACTTACCTAATTATAAGAAAACAGTTTTTTATTGTTTGCCTTAAATATATTTTTCTTTTTCTTCAATCTTTTAAAGATATACTGTATTATGCAACTCATCTTTTATAAGTACTATATTACCGGCCGTTTTAGCTATATCATAAACTAGTTTCCTCCCGCGGCTTCGCACCCATAGGTATGGTATGTTGATGAAAAGCCGACACCTATCTACATACTTACCAAATTTCAACAAAATCGGTCCAGAAGTTTTTGTGTGAACATCCACACAATCTTACAACCGTTCATATTAATCGATACCTACTGTTAATATTATCTAAGTGTACTTAATGTTATAAACCTGAAGAGTTTTTTGTTTGTTTGAACGCGCTAATCTCAGGAATTACTGGTTCGAATTGAAAAATGATTTTTGTGTTCAATATAACATTTAATGAGGAAGGCTTTACGCTATAAAACATCACGCTATGATCTGTAGGAGCCGAGTAGCTGGTGTAACCGCCCGAGAGTAGCTAGTTTAGTATATTTATATGTAAGTAACTATATTGGAAAACTACAGTAAAGAGTGCATCAGATATCGAACTATAAAAAAGTGCTAAACTATCGGAACTCTATATTTTTATAGCGCTGCAGCGCTTTGTAACCTAAAAAAAGCACAACAAAGACATTGCACATGCGTGCCAATACCTACCTAAACTTTTTGTAACTTTATTTGTCCTATCATAAGATATTTAATAAGATCTCAAATATAACACTTGTATTACTAATGTGAGACTAAGCCACCCAGACCCCAGACAGACAGACAAGACAGACAAGTGTGGGAGAACCAAGCTTCGGCACGAATGGGTCGGCTCGACCGAAGTGATACCACGGCCTCACAGAATACCGGCGTGAAACAACCACAGCGTTGTGTTTCGCCGTGTGAGAGATATTACCGGAGGCCCAATCCCTCCTCCTCCCTATCCCTTCCCGATTCTTATATCCGCAACCCCTATCCCCAAAAGGTCGGCAACGCAGTCGTAAGTCCTTTGGTGTTGCGGATGTCCATGGGCGGCGCCGATTGATTACATTAAACCGTATGCTCGTTTGCCGACTTATACCACAAAAAAAAGACAGACCAAAAACAATTTGTGGATCATACAGTGTTGTTACATGCAGGAATCGAGCCCGGGTACGTTGCATAGCGGCCAGTTGCCTAGCCACTTACGCCAAGCGTGCAGGCTATGAAAAAAAAACCACTCGGCTGTCGGGAAAAGAGACGGGAAAAAGTTCGAACAATACAATCAAAGTTCGCTTCGTCCTGTTCATGCTGTGTGCAGATACAAAATACTTAGCTTTATTAAAAGAATCTCTTGTTTTTCTCAAGTAATGTTTTGTGAGTATTATATTCACAGTCACACTATAAAGATTTGAGTCTCTGGCACACTCAGAAAAAAACGGCGTCAAACAACTACAGCGTTGTGTTTCGCCGTGTGAGTGAGGTTACCGGAGCCGCGGAGCGAAAAAATCACGACGATTTGTCATTTAAAAAAAAAACATTTCAAAACAGACAGATAAACATTATGTCCTTACAATCGAATGGTTTTATCCACAAAGGTTTGTGCTACATTGCATAATTCATTAATTCAATGAGTGACTACGTAACTGATTTAATGAGATCCGAAATATTTCAACCAACACCGAGCGATACATAGCGTAGTTGGAATTTGGCCGAAACTGTCTGAAGCTGGGAATGCGGAATTTGGGTCCGAGAGTCCTGTCCATTTGATATCACCTCACCTAACTAATCCTAAATGTATGGGCGAAAATGATCGCAATTCGTGCCGAAATAAGGGCTTCCTAAACCTAAACTACTATCATAGAACGTGCCATGCTAACTGTTTCTATCGATAGCAACAACTTGAGAGAAGAAATAAGGTATGATATGAAAACCATGTGATGATGTCAACGAGACAGGAAGAAATTATTCTAGGACTTCAGAAATAGACCAAATATTTGAAGGTGATGTAGGTACTTATACACTTATTTATCCGCCGGGGTTGCGAGGCTAATACAATAAGGCAACGTGGCCTCAACCTGGAGCAGAGGACGGAACGGTTTTAGTCAATAAGCTGCAACTCCCTCTTACCTGACCCTGGGTGGGAAAAGTCATTTGAGGATTGTTCCTTCACAAAACACAAATCTATATTTTTATATTTTTTTTAAAAGGGGGGAATACTGTGGGGACACACACATATATGTATGTGTGCAGGGACGCACACATGTAATTAATAGTGGTATGTAATGTGACTCAATAATAAAATCCAGTTCAGTTGGCATCCAAGCGTCGTACGTTTCATTTCTCTCTCACACAACCCAAACTCTACACATGTATTAAAAATTCATTTGTTCTCTTCAAATGTCAATATCAAGCACGCTTATTGCATCATCAATGACATAATCATTTACATTTACTTTTTTTGTCTGTATTGACTTTTGAAGGTAGTTGGATAGATAACTAATCTCGACAAAAAGTAGTCGTCAAGTAAGAGTTGAGAATATCTTAACCGAAATAAGCAGACGGATTACGAGGGGCCCAAGTCTGCTATTTTCAGTATATTGTCATTTCGACACGATTCCATTGTTATTTTGCTAAAAGTTCGTAATCTGTAGGCCTACTCCTCCAGCCCTCTTTCTCGTCCGCGAAGATTCACGCTTTAACACGTCATGGTAAGCCCGCTGGTCATTCATAATGGCTGACCATTGGACGGTCAGCGCGTCTTCGACGAGACACGAGAGGTCGGCAATCAATGCATTTGTAGGGCGTTGCCGACCTCTCGTGTTATTGGGGATCAAAAGATGGAGGATTTGAGGATTAAGGATGGGGGGAGGAAGAGGATTGAGCCTCCAATAACCTCACTCACACGGCGAAACACCTACTGGTTCCCGGTACTCTGTGAGATTCGTGCCGAAGCATAGCTCATCCAGACATATTAAATCTAAAGTTCCACTCTGTATTTTATTCACACAAATACCTAAAGGAAATTATATTGTTGACCTCCATATATATACATAAAACTTCCTTTTGGTTCTCAGTAGCTCAATAATAGAAGCGCTTAAAATGATGAAGTCGTAAAAGTGTATTGGCAAGTAGATTAGCTATGGGAAATCCTCCTTTAATTAGTTAAACACCAACCTCTTTTGATTTACACTAAATAAAGACAAGACAAACTATATAGAAAGAGACAACAAATAAAATAGAAACCAAATTATTTTACACCGTGTTTTTTTAATAACAACTTTATCCACGTAAGTAATAATATCTACCTACTGGCATAAAAGTAACTGTCTCCTCGTTTACATTTGTTCAGCTTCCAACGCTTTCGTAGCATTAATTAAAGTTTAATTCAATGAGGAATCTCAATTGGCCATTTGAACAAACAACAACAATGGGTAGGCAGGCAATGCGAAAGTCAGTGCACGTTTGAGTTGCTACTACAACACAGCAGCGTTTAGAAACTGTAAAAGAATAAAGAAAATACAAATGAACACGCAGACAGGCTAATAATCTGATCAGAACCTAAAACATCTAGTTAATTCCAGTTCCCAAGAAGTCACTAACCTAACGTCAAATTATAATTAGGCAAAATAAGCAGCGTATCACTAAAACCCATTTTATATGCAAACAAGTCAGGCGACAACTGCGCGTAGGTATTTACTTTCATACAAAACAAATATGGACGAAGCTTTTTTTGATCTCTCGCGTCTGTTTGTTCAAAATTGTTTGCTCTATGTCTGCACTGAGGGCTACGCGTTCCCTCCTCTCCAGTCTGGCTTTGTTTACGGGGGCGAGCGGGCGTTGCACCTCGCGACCCGCCAACGCGCACGCGTGACTAATTTAAAAATAAAACTTATATTCGCCGCTGTTACATCCTGTGCTCCTTGACTAATTCGTCTCAAAACTTACTCCAAATAACTAACATCTATCAAAATTTAATTCTATATTTACTTTGACGCAAAACGAAAAAGTTTTAGTTCGCATTCCTTCTCAAGTGTGCAAACTTGTGCTGATTAAGTGAATATTTGTTCAGGTCTTCATTTAAATTAAAAAAATAAGTTACTAACGTGATGCTACTGACTCTGCACCGCAATGTAAATATTTGAAAACCGAACATACTTAGATAAATAAACAAACCTTTTTAGTGCACACGTGCGCCTACAAATTATTATGGATGTGTATCCGAATAACTAAATCATAAAAAAGTAAAAATGGATTGGCGCGAAAAACTGTTTGGGAAGGTACTGGTGAAATGTGAATCGGGGACTCAAAATGGTAAATTCGAGAATGTATCAACATTAGAAGCTTTGTCTGACTGTGTGGAGGAGGGTGAGGGAGCTGTGTGCGGAATTTACTTTTCTTTCGCGAATATTAGTGATACAAGTGACGATTTCGGAGTGCGTCTGGAGGAGGTGTACAAACGTGTGCATCCTCGTTTGAAGGTCGTGCAGGTGGTGTTGTGGGCTCATGTTGGCACCCCTGAGGGTCTTGCGGAGAGAGAGGCGGGATTCCGTAGAAGTTTAACCGGCAAGACCTGGTTTGCTGTGCCGTTCCACGATGTCGATACAAAGGTAAATTGCTGTTTATAAACAAGAAACTTTATGCGAATTAAATTATGTTTTTCGTAATAAATATTTCCTGCAGAATTTCTTCAAAATTGCTTGTTTATAATGCTCCCTAAGTTGGTACGCAAGAAGACTCTAATATCATACTAAGCTCTACACATTAAACATTCTCCATATTAACTTATTGAACTCATTTCAAACAGTATCCTAAAACAACAATACCTAACAAAGTCGTTCTTGGAGTCCGCATACTAACTTTACCCATCTACACCTTATATTCTACCGTTAAGCACAAAATTGTAAAGTCTAAATGAAGCCGAAAATATAGCATAAATAAGTCAAGTGAAAAATATAGATCCCTGAATGACCATAAGTCTTAACTCAGACTCAATTTGGCTCCCACCAGTTTTGGCCACACTCCAAAGCAACGAAAGATTTCATAAAGGAATAGTTCCACTTGCAACGCTGCAGTTGACCACAGGCAGTTTAATATTGGTAAATACAATGAAATTGGCACAAAAACTGCTAACAACGAGCTTATAGTGTCCCGAATCTGACACGTAGAAGTGGTTTGTGGATAAAGCTAAAATGGCAAAATATTATCAGGTAGAATTAAGTAGACTACCAAAAATGAAAAGGTAGAATATTTTGAAAAAGTTGTTAGTTGGCAAACAAGCATACAGATTACCTAATGGCAATCGGCGCCGCCCGTAGTCACCCACAACATCAGAGGCGTTACCGGTCATTTGGGGGTAAAGGGTTTTGAGGATTAAAAGATTGGGAGGAATGGGGACAGGGGAAAGAATGTAAACTCACTGCTGTACTGTGCTGTGGTTGTTTTACGCCAGCTTTCTGTGATAGGATCGTCTATCAAAAATGACTTGATAATTTTTGATAGACGATTTCCGAACCGATATGAACTGTGTAGATACAAATAACCAACATAAAAACATGAGCGATAAAAGTAATAGATAATCACTTAATACGAAATCGACAATTTTCACTACTTAATAGACATTTGCCACTTCACAAGACCTCTTTAATCTTCGACAGCTGAAAAAACAAACATGCTACGCACTCAAGCGTGTCAATCCAATCATAACGAGAAAGCAAAATAACTGGGAACACTTAAAACATCAAACGTTCATAACTTTTCGTTCAACAAATGCCTACTTGAAGATTTTGCATTTTATTAAATGCTTTGATACTCTGCCTAAAGTTTGCGTCACAAGTATGACGGATACTTGTGTACGATCAAAAATTACAATTAAGTTACTTTGCGGTTTAAATTGGTTTTTCAGTGTTCAGAAACATTCTGTATACAGAAAATCTTTGACGTTGTTTTGATAATTACTTATGGAAGTTCATTTCATTAAAGCACACGTTCTTTAAACAACAGTTTCGGCAATACCTATCCAATAAGTGCCCACAGAATAAAGTACCGTTTTGTGAGTGAGGTTACCGGTGGCGTAGTCTTCTCCCCGCTCCCCATCTCCAATCTTCAATTTTCGAATCCCTAACAATCCACACTCTTAGCTCTTCTGGTGTTGCCACAGGGTACAGTATATTATACTGTGTTACGGACGTCCATAAGTGGAGTTGTTTAAATTGCTTACCATTAGGTTATTCGTCTGCTCATTTGATTAACAGTAAATGCCTAAGTTCAAAGTAATAAAAAAAAACAAAGTTTAAAAAAACCGACTTCAAAAACAAAAAAGTGGTTAATAATTAAGATAGATATTTTAATACCACTCTTACGTACGCGAAGCTAATACTTTAAATTAATAAAAACACTATCAATTCATATGTGCTACCTATTTATAGGTTTGAAGAAAAAAATCGCGTCGAATTGAGAACCTTCTCCTTTTTTGAAGTCGGTTGAAAAGTGATTATATTATTAAGGCAATGTTCTATCAAATATAGATATTCTCCAATTATTTCCAATAACATCCAAATGAACAGTGTTTTATCATAAAATAAAGGACTGACCGGTCATATACCTACATGCAGAAACCACATAGCAACAATATTGAACAATGGACATAATCGTAGTAACATTTGAGTGCATCATACCGTGCACTTTGTCGGTAATTTCAAACATATTCATACATTTTGTTGCGGCTACTGGCACGCGACCTGCATCATTATCACTGGTTAATAAGACATTTATAGACTATGTTCCTTTTGATATTAAAAGTAGATATGAAGAATATATTATGTATTTATTATTATTGGTGATGAAATACCATACGACAGCGTGTTTTTAAACGCTTGCACGGTATACATCAAGTATCAATTTTATCTATATCTACCAAAAAGTATAAAAGGATTTGTCCTGTGCACGTGAAAGCATTTTACTGTTGAGTTTTTTTGTTCTTAAGAACTATGGAATTCCATTGTCCTGGCTAAAATTATTTAAGTAGTTCGTTGGATCAGTGACAAAGTGGCGAAATTCTTAATCCAATAAAATGTACTTAAACGCGGCAACGATCCAAGCTCGCTTCCAAAATGGCCAAGAAAAGAAAGATGGCTATAATAAATTCGCTGAAACGATATTTCGTATTCAAAAATTACCTTTTCGACTTTCAGTTACATTAGGGGATTAGTATAACCAATATTCAGTAAAGAAAAGTCATTAATCAACGTAGGAAGTAAATGGTCCGTCAGCTGGGTAGTCCCACGCAAATTGTCGGTCATCAGGAACGAGTGAGGTTGCCATTCGAACAATAATGGATTGAACTGCTCATTATGTGGCGTACAGCGGGATATTTTGCTCTGATTACATTCTGATGTTAAATTCTATACTTTTCTGACTTCAAATCAAGAAAAATTTTTTAGGTTCGTTTGTGTAAAATCTGAAATAAAATTCATATAAGAAAAAGTGTAAGAAGACAGAAATACGAATAATAATATTATAATGTATCATGCTAACAGACATTTTCAACGCGAAGTTAGTATGGATGGATATTTGTTAGTCTTGCAAGTAAAAATTTCTAAACAAATCTGGTATGATCTGGAATAATAAATAAGCTACTTTTTACCCTGTTAATTGTTATAATTACTGCTAAGAACATCGTTCCCATATAAAATTTTCTGTATATTAGATATTTGGGTTCGCCAGGTCAGGTCTGTCTTATGTTTGTGCATATAGCTAAAGAAACGTCAAAATATCGGAAATAAAATAATAGTTAAAACGAAGCTAAGATATTCCAATGTGCCCCTACATGTAAACAAGAATGCAAAATCCCATCAACAGCTACCAGGCTTCCATAACATCCAAGGAATGAATATCAAACCCCACATCTACATAACTGCTGCCTTATAGCCTTAGCAAGTTCCTAGGTTCATTGAAACGGGGCCCGCTAGTAATTACGGGTAAAAGCGGAGGGTTGCGTCAATGCCATGTATCACCCTAAATTACTCTCCACCCCACACTTTCGCTGAGAGGGGCTTTTTTACATGTACACAGGTGCGTTTTGATACATTAACGTCACTGTTTACATTAAACTAACCCCTACCTGTATCGAAATAGAGGCGCTTTTCAAAACAATATCCTTCTTACCTTAACAAGATTATGTTGAAAAAGTCGTAAAAGTTTTACGCAAACCTTCACTTGAATGTTATTTCGTTGTGAGAGCCGTGACACGGCGAGTTCCTTTGTTATTTCTTGGCAGTTTCCATTATGGAAATTAAAAGCCCTTTTCTAGCTAGAGCAAGCAATTTTGCTAATGCTAATAATTGTATTACGTTGGATCGGATTTTCTACGCGTTTAAGCTGGCTATTTCCTTCATGTACTTAGCTAACAAAATTATTCATACTTACACTCATATTTCCACCGACATTTTTAGTTCTAAGAATTCGCTAGTCAATTCTTTCGATAGTCTTCTCAAATAGTTCCCCAGACCTCAATCTGGGTCCTTACGTAATAAAACCTCATGTATTTAGATCTAAACATTTCTTTCGTGCATCCCACTGTCCCCATTCGCTCGCAAGCTGCTATTAAGAGAGGAATTTCTCGAGATCCACTCATGAAAGAGGGTGCAAATGATACTGACCCAGCAGTTAAGTCTTTCATCGGACGGCGCAAATGATAAAAGGATAAAAGATGGTACGGAATAAAAACTGATGAAAGCCGCGACACAAAGTGAGATATTGCTAATAGGTATTTTGAATGAGGTATAACAGATAGGAAATACCGGTTTCATCTAGTTTTTAACATATAATTTTGACGTGTAAAAGTGCTGTTTTATGGCCTATTTACAAAAATAAACTCATTGTTTCATTGTTTCTGTATAATTATTTGAATGTAAACTAACATTATAAAGAGTTAAAAGTAAGTTTGTATGTAGCTACAGTCTATTAGTCTTTCACTAATAGACTGTAGCTACAATGTTCCTGATTGCCACACTATAAATTATACTTGATTTGCGTATTTTAGCCAAACTAGCGCTTTAAACGCTGCAGTTTTTAAAATCCTACTTAAAAGCTAGTTTTAAATTAATACCAGATTGATGCAAACAATCATACAAGACCATTTTTTTTTGCGCCAGACAGAAATAGTATTTATACTCATGTTAAAATTAAGTCGTGTTTTATTTTTAAGTACATGATGATAAGAGAAGTTCGGAATGCTAACCCTAGTGTTTTGAAAACAGTTTTCAACGCACACTATAAAGGAATGGATTACTTGAAACCAGTTTTTGAACTCACACTTTCGCACAGACGATATAAGTTAGAAGGGAGATCGCCGGATCGAACATGTGTTTTTGATTGCTTCTTATATGAGGTCTTTATTTGGTTCAGTGACGCCAATGTCTTTTAAGAGCTTCAAATACAGAAGCAATACTTGACAATACAATTTCCAAGCTTATTGTTTTGTAATGAAGTCGAAAATTTTTTGAAGAATTTCAAATTAGGATAGCTTAAAGTGGTGACTTATTTCAATACGTTTTCGGTTATTAGTTAATTTTTTTTTTGTAAAATAAGCCTAGGAATACCTAAGAAT